CCCTATAATGAGACCACGAGCAGGAATAATCTTCCCACTCAATCCAGATTTGGAAATGTATTTGAGGTATTAAATGCCACAAAAATCCCAGGGACTGGCTGAGCACTTAAATACATTTAGAACATGAATTCTCTGAGTTAATCTGAATTCTCTGAATTGGTCTGATTTTTATCATTTCTCTCTCATGCAGCACCTCCTCTGTTTGAGGCTCAGCCCTGGCAAATTCCTTCATCCAACCAAGGATCCGACACGGAATGAGGGAGGATCCACAGCATCCTTCATCCAAGCAGAACAAAAATTCATCCCCCTGGCTCTGGGGAAACGACAGGAAAGTTCCTGCTGGCTTTGGGATCTGAACCTGTCTTCCTGTAGCTGGTGCTGCATTCCCTTTTCCTTTTGGGTACACCTGGAATTTTGACCATGAGAAGCTTCCTTACATCCTTGAGCTGCTGGATCTCATGGGAGGTTTCCTGTGGATCATTTGGACATCCTGGGGCACATCCCATGGAAAACCTGGAGACAGAATTCCTTTCTCACGTTAAAGCAATTCCATCTTTTCCGTTGTGACAGTGAGAAGGAAATCAAATCCAACGCTCTGGATTTGCACATGGATCCACAAGGAGCTGGAATTTAAGAAATTGGGAATCCCATGCTCTCTCTCTCTCTCATTGGTCTTCTCTGCAGTTTGGGAAATTCCCAGAAAATGCAACAAAGAGCAGTTTTTGAGGATAAGGGGATTGAAAGCACGGTGACTTTAATTTACCCCAGAGAGCTGGGACAAAACTGAACCTTTCCACACATCAGGAAAAATCATGGCAAGCACACAAATCCTCAGCATTTATGGACAAAAATCACATTTGAGAGGAAATTCCAACCACCAATCAGAGAGTCACAGAACTATTAAGGATGGAGAAGTCCTTTTAGATCACCAAATCCCTGCCCATTTCCTCAAACCATGTCCACAGGTTTTCCAGGCACTCCCAGGAATGGGGATTCCATTCAGTGGAATGAAAATTCCATTCTTTCCATGAAGAAATTGCTCCTAATATCCAACCTGATCCTCCCCTGGTGCAACTCAAGGACGTCTCAGTGTGGATTAAGAGGAAACTTCTGCTCTGTGAGCAGATTAATCTGTGTCACCTGAGGGTTTCGCAGATTTTGGGAACACCATGGCATTCCACGGACTGAGAGCACCCAAATAATTGATTTTACAACCCAGTGCAGTTCCCTCTCCCAGACTTTGTTTTTTTTCCCTGGTTTTCCTGGGTGCTTGGAAGGATGAGTTCATCCCAACCAACACGAAGGCCTAAAACCTGACAAATCTTCCCAAAAAAATCAGCCAGGAACTTGCAGAGGGGAATAATCTCCTGTAACTTCAGATTTGTTAATTATGCAGGAAAACAGACTGGTGGATTTTGATGAAGAAAGTGAAATTTAGAGGATTTAAAGTGAGGTGGAACAAACCAAAACATTCACCAGCATCATTCCCTGGAATTGCAAATCTCTCTTCACCAGCCTTTTTTTAACTTTTTTTCCTACCAAAATTCCCTAAACCAGGAATTTTGGAAACCAAATTAAACCAATCACTCCACAGGTGCTTCCTTGGTTTCCTAAATCCAAGATTATTTTTGTTTCCATTAGGCAGCAGTTGAGGGTCAGATCCACGTTCCTAACATGGAAATGATGTCAGTGGTTTATCTTTTCCCATCAATATTCCCTGGAATTTTACAATTCCCAGGATCCGAGGGGTCTTGGACAAGCTCTGAGCCTTTGCTGCATATTAAGTGCCCACTGCACATTTTAAAGCTTAAACCTTCTCTGATTTATAATTTTTTAAAAATTTATTTTTGTATTTTATTTTAAAAAAGTTATAAATCAGAGCAGGTTTAAGCTTTAAAATGATGCTGTAAAATAATAAACAGAACTATCCAGGAGCGTGTTGAGCCAAGTCAATTATCCTTGGAATAGCAGCAGACCTACAGAAATTAATCAGAATAAAATCAGATGTACTTATGCTGGCTGCAAACATATTTTACATCATTCCTGAGGTCTGGAATTTAAAATGGAGAGGGGAAAAAAAAATCTCCATCAGCTGCTTGGGGCAAACCACATCGAGTGCCTGGAGCTGCAGATGGTCCCTGCCCCGCTGCAGAGTTCCCAGATAAGAAATTGCCAAACTGCAGAGTTGGGACGTTTGGAGATGAGCATTTCCCTGCCCTGCTCGGCGTTTCCAGGTCCTGCCCGACTGGAATGGGCTCCAGCCTGGGATTACAGGCACCTCTCAAAGCCCAGGGGCCACTGAATCAGCGGCAGCGAATTCCAGAGATCAGAATGCCAGCCCTGGGCTACGGCCCCGCTCAGATGTGGGCAACAAAGCCAAACGCGCCGGGCTCCCTCTGACTCCATCCCAAAACTCCACCTGCGCTTCCCCGGTGTTCCCTGCCCCGGAGGAACGGCAGAGCTTGGAATTTGGGAGCCAAAATGAAGTTTTCCTGATGATTCCGAGCTAAAGAAGAAGAAATCTGGGGGAAGAAAAATGTGTGGATGGGGGCAGCAGGGAATGAGAGGATTTTTGGGAATGCCCGGCTGGTGTGGAGAGGTGGGAGGTGAGGGAAGGCGAGCTGCTGCCAGGGAAGTGGGAGCAGGAGGAGAGCAGCAGCCTTGGGGGGTGAAGGGTTAATGGATGGTTCTGGAAGAGCGTGGAGACCTTGTGGCAAAGGGAGAGCAGCCAGGAGAGGAAATAAATGCAAGATAAAAAGTTGCTGTAATCAGTGGATGAAGCTGATAAGGGGCAGGGAGCACAGCTCAGCTCCAGGGCTGAGCGAGGAGTTGTTTTCAGGGAGGCACAAGGATATGGGAATATTTGAAATCCACCACCTTGTGCCTGCTGGAGGATGATTTAAACTCTATTTCAACGTGTCCCACCTTGGGATCTGATTTCCAAACACCCTCGTGCCAACCTCAGGCACCAGAGCAGGCTGTGGCTGCCTTTTAAAACATCCCACCTGATGGGAAGAGCTCCGTCCTTGTGCCTTTCTCCCTCCCTGCAAGCCCTGCTGACCCTGCAGCCCCAGCCATGACAGTGGTGCCAAAAATCCTCACAGCAGCCCCTGCAGCTGGAGGTTTTCCAACAAAGTTTCTGATCATCCCACAAATCCCCACAGCAGGTCGTGTGGCCACTGCCAGCATCTCCCTTCAGTTTTAGCTGTAATTTAGTGGGGTTTTCCCTTGCTGCCAGTTCTCTGCTCCTCCACACTGCTGTGTTTCCATCCAGGCAGGTTTGTGACCCACCAGAATCCAGGATTGTCCAGGATGCCAGCAGGGAGGAGATTTGGGAGCTGCTGCCATCAGCAAGGCCCTGGCAAACAGCAGCAACCTGGCTGAAGGGCCTTTCCCACATGAAGCAATCTCTGTACAAAATCTGAACTTAAATTAAGATTTGCCCAAGAAATAAAACCTCCAGAACCCCATTCAGATCCCAGGGCTCTGCTGAGTGCAGTGCCCACAGCACACAGCAGGGAGAACGCTCTCTGAACTCCTCCCAGCCTCTGCTGGAAGTGCTGAAGGAGCTGAATCCTGGCCACAAAAAGAAATCAATTCAACCCTGGCTGTTCAGCTCAAGTGTCACTGACCATCCCAACCAACGCTGCAGTGACACAGTGCAACAGCCGAGCTCCAGGAGCACAAAAAGCAAAAGCTCTGATTCATCCCCAGCCCCATTTTCTCCACCTCTCCAGCACCTAGGAAATGCAACTCGAGTAACTCCCACAGGACTCCATTTACCAAGCACTTAGAGTGAGTTTTGTGTTTTTTCATCCAGGCAGCATTTCCTCTCTGCTCACAGGTAGGTTCGCAACTCACCAGAATCCAGGGATTGACCAGGATGCCACCAGGAAGGAGATTTGGGAGCTACTGCCATCAGCAAGGACCTGGCAAACAGCAAAACCAAACAGTTGTCAGTTCCCCAAACAGGAACCGAGGAAATCCCTGTCTCCAGAAGATCATGTGAGTTTTAGAAGTTGTTGGATATTCACAGAAGAATCCCGAGCTGATTTTACAGAAGTTGGGATGCAAGAGACCCCGGGAGACACCAGGTCCATCCTCCTGCTTTAAGCAGAGTCAGATCTGGGATCATCCCAGGCTGCTGAGGGCTCTAAGGCTTCCACATCCTCCCAAGGAGGAGAGGGCACAACTGCTGTGTGTGGGACATCGTGACACTTCGGGAATCACGGAAAATCCTGCGCTGGAAGTATCATCAAATCTAACTCCTGCACAGACACCCCAAAATTCCCTCCCTGGGAGCGTTGTTCTGGAGCCTTGGGAACATCAACATTCTCTGGGGATCCTGTTCAGTGCCCCACCCTTTAGGGAAGAACCTTTTCCCAATAAACCTTTTCCAAATAAACCTTTTCCCAATATCCAGCCTCCCCCTCGGCTGTGCTAGGTTTGCATCCCGGGACCCCCTCAGCCTCTCCCCCCTCAAACATCCCGTTCCCCTTCTCTGATCCCTCCTCCGTGCACTCCCCGGGAACCCGCGGGTCTCCAGGAGGGATTTTTCTCTTTTTCTCAGGAAAACCCAGCCGGTTTTTCCCTCCTGGAATCGATGTTTTGCTACCATCTAGCGCTGAGGGGGCGCGGCCTCCTCAGGCCCGCCTGGTTCCTCTCAGGGCGGATCCCAACACCGGCGGGAATTTGGGAACGAGACCCCAGGGAAAAACTGGATTTTAAGGGGGAATTAGGATGATCCTACTACTCGGAATTTCATAAATTTTCCCTTTTTTAATAGTTTTTTTCCTCCTAGAGTCGATGTTTTGTTACCATCTAGCACTGAGGGGGCGCGGCCTCCTCATACCCCGTCGTTCCCCTGATCACAGCACCAGCGGGAATTTGGGAACGAGACCCCGGGGGAAAACTGGATTTTGACGGGGAAATAGGATGATCCCACTAATGAGAATTTCAAAAATTGTCCCTTTTTAATAGTTTTTTTCCTCCTAGAGTCGATGTTTTGCTACCATCTAGCGCTGAAGGGGCGCGGCTTCCTCAGGTGCGCGAGGTTCCCCTCAGGACGCATCGCAGCGCCAGTGGGAATTTGGGAACAAAACCCCGGGGAAAACTGGATTTTAACGGGGAAATAGAACTATGCTATTATTGTGAATTTCAGAAATTGTCCCTTTTAAACTGGTTTTTCCCTCCTGGAGTCCATGTTTTGTTGCTATCTAGCCCTGAGGGAGCGCAGCCTCCTCAGGCCCTCGTGGTTCCCCTGAGGGAGGATAGAAGCACCAGTACGAATTTGGGAACGAGATCCCGGGGAAAAACTGGATTTTAAGGGGGAAATAGGATGATCCCACTACTGAGAATTTCAGAAATTGTCCTTTTTAAATCACCAGCTGTAAGAACAGCCACAAGGATGTTTTTATATCCTGGGAATGCTGTGTCCCGGTCCTGGGACAGGAGGGATGTGGAGCTCCTGGAGCAACTCCAGTAAAGATGAGGGAGGGCCTGGAGCTTCTCCCTGCCAGGAGAGGCTGAGGGAGATGGGGCTGTTCAGCCTGGAGAGGAGATAAATGAGAGGGAACCTCATCCCTGGGTGTCCCTGGGTGCAGGGAGGGCTCAGAGCAGGGCCAGGCTCTGCTGCCGGCCCAGCAATGGCACCAGAGCCACGGGCAGGGAATGATCCCAGCAATTCCACATGGAAATAAGGAAGAATTCCTGCCCTGGGCAGTGCCCAGCCCTGAGGCTGTGGAGTCTCCTCTCTGGGATATTCCAGAGTTGTCTGGACACACTCCTGTGCCCTGTGTTCTGGGATGGCCCTGCTGGATGGAACAGGGAGGTGGCACCAGGGACCCTCTGGGGTCCCGTCCAGCCCGACCCATCCTGGGGCTCTGAGAATCTGCAAATTTGGGATTCTGTGATCGCCTGAGTCCGTGGGTTTGTGATTTATGAGTCTGTGATTCCTTCATTCTGTGATTCTGTAATGCCATGATTCTCTCATTCTGTAGTGGTTTTTGTGAGACTGTAATTCCATGATTCCGTGTTTCTGTGAGTCTGTGATTCCATGAATCTGTGATACTGTGAATCTGTAATTCCATGATTCTCTGATTCCATAAGTCTGTGATTCCATGATTCTCTAATTTTGTAATTCCATGATTCTCTAATTCTTTGAGACTGTAATTCCATGATTCTGTCATTCTATGAGTCTGTGATTCTGTGATTCTGTGAATCTGTAATTCCATGATTCTGTAATTCCGTGATTCTGTGATTCTGTAGTTCTGTGAGTCTGTCATTCCATGATTCTGTCATTCTGTGAGTCTGCCATTCCATGGTTCTCTGATCCTGTGGTTCCGTGACTCTGTGACTGGTTCTGTAGTTCTGTGATTTTGTGTGTCTGCCATTCTGGGATTCTGGGAGTCTCTGAATCCGTGTCTTTGTGATTCCATGATTCTGTGATTGAGGCTGAGGCTCTGTAAATCTGTCATTCCACCACCCTGCAATTCTGGGATTCTGAGACTCCATGATTCCATCTTTCTACAGTTCTGAGACTCTTGAGATTCCATGATTCCATGATTCCATCACTCTACTCTCTGAGTCTGTGATTCCATGATTTTGTGATTTTTGACTCTGTGATTCTGAGATTCTTTGATTCCATGATTCCATAGAGTATTCCATCGCTCTACAGTTCTGGGATTCTGGAGCCTGTGATTCCATGGTTTTGTGATTCTGACTGTGGCTCTGAGATTCCATGATTCCATTGCTCTACAGTCCTGGGATTCTCTGAGACTGTGATTCCGTGATTTGTGATTCTGACTCTGTGAGATTCTGTGATTCCATAATTCCATCATTCTGCAGTTCTGGGATTCTCTGAGCCTGTGATTCCATGGTTTTGTGATTCTGACTGTGGCTCTGAGATTCCATGATTCCATTGCTCTACAGTCCTGGGATTCTCTGAGACTGTGATTCCGTGATTTGTGATTCTGACTCTGTGAGATTCTGTGATTCCATGGTTCCATCACTCGACTCTCCGAGCCAGTGATTCCATGATTTTGTGATACTGAGATTCTGTGGCTCTGAGATTCTGTGATTGCATGATTCCATGACTCTCCAGGTCTGGGATTCTCTGAGCCTGTGATTCCATGATTTTGTGATTCTGACTGTGACTGAAATTCCATCATCCTGTGATTCCACAGTTCCACATTCTGCTCTTCTGAGACTCTCTGACGCTATGATTTAGTGATCCTGTGACCCTGATTCCTCGGTTCCCTAATTCCATGATTCCTTGATTGATTCCTTGATGGATTCCTTGATCCGTGCGACTGCCTTCACCGGACACCACAACTTTCCACAAACTCCATCCAACCGAGCGGCATGGGGTGAGCGGCACGGACAGGAGGACAGGGAGACCCCAAACCCCCTTCCCCAAACCTAGGGGGACCCCCAGAACCCCCCAAAACCCGGGATTTTCCCCCAAAAAACCCTAGCTGGCTTTATTGGAATTAGTGAGACGTCTGGGGGGGGGGGGGGGGGGGGGGGGGAGGTCCCCGGTTCCCCTCCGTGCGGTTTCAGCGCCCCCTGGTGGCTGACGGCGGCACGACACCCCTTTTTGCTGCACTACGCTTTACGGCGCTTTCGCGGCGGCGCGGAGCGGTGTTGCTTTACGGCAGCGCGGCGCTCCAGGCCGCGGGATCCGCCGGGATGAAGCAGAAAAGGAAAAATGGGAAAGGTAAAAAAAAGACTAAAAAGAGACCTGAGGGGCTGGAGCGTGTCCGGGAGAGGGAATGGAGCCGGGACACGGGCGGCTGAGGGGCTGAGCATGGAGAAAAGGAGGCTGAGGGGGCCGTTGTGCTGTGCACAGCTCCTGACAGGAGGGACAGCCGGGGACGGGCTGAGGGGAAACGGCCTCAAGCTGGCCGGGGGACGCTTAAATTGAATAACAGCAGAGATTTCCTCCCTTAAAGGTCTGTCCAGCCCTGGCGCAGCTGCCCAGGGCCGCGGTGGAGTTTTTATCCCGGAGGGATTTAAAATTCCCCGGGGATGTGGCGCTGGGGACGCGGGTTGGGATTGGGAATGGTTGCACTCCGTGCTCTTTGCAGCTCCAACCCAGCCATTCCAGGAATTTCAGGCTGGGCTGTGACGAGCAGGAAAATCTCTGATTTTTGCTTTTTTTTCCCCCGTTCCCGGCGCAGGGGAGCCGAGCCAGGCCGAGCTGATGGTGATGACCATCGCTGACATCATACAGCAGCTCCTGGAGGCCCACGAGCAGGGAAAGGACGTGGATCTCAACAAGTGAGTGCCTCATTTTCACACCGTTTTCTGGTAATAAACCCCCCAAGATCGGTAAATTCTGGGCTGAGTCTCAAGTGGGTGGGATTTTCTGAAAAACTCCAGGAAACTTTCATTGCCTTTTTCCCCCCCCATTCCTCACTAGTCCCAAATCCACCTGGGGAAGGAGACATTAATATAGAGATAATATTAAATCAGATTTTTTTAGCAATTTTGTTTGCAGAAACTTGCTTGTTCTTCACATTTGTGGAGCAAGAAAACCTGAATTTGTTGTTTACAGAAACATTTCCCTTCTTTACTTATGTGAGTAAGAAACCCCACATTTGGTATTTGCAGAATTTTTTCCTCCTTTGTTTATGTGGAGGAAGAAATCCTGAATTTGTTGTTTCTGGAAATTTCTTCCTCCTTTATTTATTTGGAGTAATAAAACCTGAATTTTTTTGTTTACAGAAATTCCTTCATCCTTTATTTAAGTGGAGCAACAAAACTTGATTTTATTGTTTACGTGGATTTCTTCCTCTTAATTTAAGTGGAGTAAGAAAAGCTGAATTTTTGTTTACAGAAACTTTTTCCTTCTTTATTTATGTGAAATAAGAAACCCCAATTTTGGTATTTATAGAATTTTTTTTCCTGCTTTATTTATTGGGAGTAATAAAACCTGAAATTATTGTTTCCATGAATTTCTTCCTCTTTGTTTATTTATGTGGAGGAAGAAATCCTGAATTTGTTCTTTATAGAAATTTCTTCCTCCTTTATTTATTGGGAGTAGTAAAACTTGAATTTGTTCCTTACAAAAATTCCTTCTTCCTTTGTTTATGTAAAGCAAGAAAACCTGAATTTTCCCCACTTTTTCCACTTTATTGACATAATTATAAACTTTTCCCTGGAAATTCCTGCCAGGAACTGCCTTGTAGGTGAGCTCAGCTCCAGGCTGGGTGTGTAGGGTTAAACACATGAATTAATCACCACCAGGAATAAAACATCAATCCAGAATTATCCCTGAAAATGGATCAGCAGGAGCCTTTCCTGCACAAAATCAGGCTGAAACCAAATTTAGGGGGAAAACACAGAAAATAAAAACCATGGACAGCTCTGAGTTGATTTTTGGTGTTCCCACACCCCCTGCAGCTCGTTGTGTTTGATTCTTCTGCCTGGAGAGCAGAACTGCCAGGATCTCTGTGGCACAGATGGAAAGGAGAGCAGGTTTTGCTGATTTTGCTGTTTTTTGGTCATTTTGGGTGTTTTTGATTTGAATATCAAACCCTCAGCCAGGCACAGGCAGCTGTGAATTCATTTTTGGTGTTTCCACACACCCTGCAGCTGGTTGTGTACAATATTTCTGCCTGGAGAGCAGAACTGGAGGAGCCTGCCTGGATCTGTAGGAGGAAAGGAGGGCAGGTTTTGGTGGTTTTTGGTCATTTTGGGTGTTTCTGGTTGAAGACCAAACCCTCAGCCAGCTACAGGCGGCTGTGAGTTGATTTTTGGTTTTTCCACACCCTGCAGGAGGTTGTGTTTAGTATTTCTGCCTGGAGGAACCTGCCTGGACCTGTGTGGCAGAGATGGAAAGGAGGGCAGGCTTTGGGTGTTTTTCGGTCATTTTGGGTGTTTCTGGTTGAAGACCAAACCCTCAGCCAGCTACAGGCGGCTGTGTGTTGATTTTTGGTGTTTCCACACACCCTGCAGCTGGTTGTGTGTAATTCTTCTGCCTGGAGAGCAGAACTGGGGGATCCTGCCAGCATCTGTGCGAGGAAAGGAGGGCAGGTTTTGGGTGTTTTTTGGTCGTTTTGGGTGTTTCTGGTTGAAGACCAAACCCTCAGCCAGCTACAGGCGGCTGTGTGTTGATTTTTGGTGTTTCCACACACCCTGCAGCTGGTTGTGTGTAATTCTTCTGCCTGGAGAGCAGAACTGGGGGATCCTGCCAGCATCTGTGCGAGGAAAGGAGGGCAGGTTTTGGGTGTTTTTTGGTCGTTTTGGGTGTTTCTGGTTGAAGACCAAACCCTCAGCCAGCTACAGGCGGCTGTGTGTTGATTTTTGGTGTTTCCACACACCCTGCAGCTGGTTGTGTGTAATTCTTCTGCCTGGAGAGCAGAACTGGGGGATCCTGCCAGCATCTGTGCGAGGAAAGGAGGGCAGGTTTTGGGTGTTTTTTGGTCGTTTTGGGTGTTTCTGGTTGAAGACCAAACCCTCAGCCAGCTACAGGCGGCTGTGTGTTGATTTTTGGTGTTTCCACACACCCTGCAGCTGGTTGTGTGTAATTCTTCTGCCTGGAGAGCAGAACTGGGGGATCCTGCCAGCATCTGTGCGAGGAAAGGAGGGCAGGTTTTGGGTGTTTTTTGGTCGTTTTGGGTGTTTCTGGTTGAAGACCAAACCCTCAGCCAGCTACAGGCGGCTGTGTGTTGATTTTTGGTGTTTCCACACACCCTGCAGCTGGTTGTGTGTAATTCTTCTGCCTGGAGAGCAGAACTGGGGGATCCTGCCAGCATCTGTGCGAGGAAAGGAGGGCAGGTTTTGGGTGTTTTTTGGTCATTTTGGGTGTTTCTGGTTGCAGGCTGAAGACCAAAACCTCGGCCAGGTACGGGCTGTCGGCGCAGCCGCGCCTCGTCGACATCATCGCGGCCGTGCCGCCGCAGTTCCGGAAGGTTCTGCTGCCGAAGCTCAAGGCCAAGCCCATCAGGACGGCCAGCGGGGTGAGGCAAAAGGATTTCCCCTCCTTCCCCCACACCCTCCCTGCTCCCAGCCCAAAATTTGGGTTTAATCCCCACCCAAAAGCGGTGGCGGCGTTGCCTTTTGCACGGGGAGAAATTTGGGGGTTTTCCTGTGGTTGCTGCATCCCTGGAAGTGTCCAAGGAAAGGCCGGAGCACCCTGGGATAGGGGAGGGTGTTGGGATTGGGATTTAAGGTGCTTCCAATCCAAAATATCCTGAGATTCCCTGAGGACAAAGGTGGATTGTGTCCATGTCACTTTGGATCTTTTTAGCAGAGCAGTTAATTCAATTTACTGTAAATCACCTAAATCTCCATATCAGACCCCAATTTATACTGAAAATCACCTAAATCTCCATATCAGACCCCAATTTATACTGAAAATCACCTAAATCTCCATATCAGACCCCAATTTATACTGAAAATCACCTAAATCTCCATATCAGACCCCAATTTATACTGAAAATCACCTAAATCTCCATATCAGACCCCAATTTATACTGAAAATCACCTAAATCTCCATATCAGACCCCAATTTATACTGAAAATCACCTAAATCTCCATATCAGACCCCAATTTATACTGAAAATCACCTAAATCTCCATATCAGACCCCAATTTATACTGAAAATCACCTAAATCTCCATATCAGACCCCAATTTATACTGAAAATCACCTAAATCTCCATATCAGACCCCAATTTATACTGAAAATCACCTAAATCTCCATATCAGACCCCAGTTTATACTGAAATCACTCTAAATCTCCATATCAGACCCCAGTTTATACTGAAACCACCTGATTTTTTGTATCAGACCTAATTCTTTGTATCAGACCTCAGTCTATTCTGGAGTCACCCAATTCTCCATATCAGACCCCAGTTTATTCTGAAACCACCTAAATCTCCATATCAGACCCCAATTTATACTGAAAATCACCTAAATCTCCATATCAGACCCCAATTTATACTGAAACCACCTAAATCTCCATATCAGACCCCAGTTTATACTGAAACCACCTAACTCTTCATACAGACCCCAGTTTATTCTGAAACAACCTGATTTTTCTTATCAGACCCCAGTTTATACTGAAACCACCTAAAGTTTTATGTCAGACCTAATTCTTCACATCAAACCCCAATTTGTCCTGAAACCACCAAATTTTTTATATCAGACCACTATTTATACAGAAACCACCTCATTCTTATCAGACCTCAATTTGTACTGAAACCACTCAATTCTTCATTTCATACCTAATTCCTTGTATCAGACCCCAATTTATACTGAAAATCACCTAAATCTCCATATCAGACCCCAATTTATACTGAAAACCACCTAAATCTCCATATCAGACCCCAATTTATACTGAAACCACCTAAATCTCCATATCAGACCCCAGTTTATACTGAAACCACACAATTCTCCATATCAGACCCCACATAATTTGTTAATTAATATTATTTCTTTCTATTGCAAAACCTGAGAACATTAAATAACGTTTAATATGCTTCATTAAGCATTCCCATTTCATGCTGGCTTCGTTTTTCCCTTCAAGCCTTAACCCACTGCTATTTTAGCACAAAACATCCCCAAAACACCCCCAGAGAAGCCCCCATCCCCCACAACCCTGCAAGAAACTCTTGAATTTTGGTAATTTTGGGGCTAATTGCTGCAATTTCCCTGGCAGATCGCCGTGGTGGCCGTGATGTGCAAACCCCACCGGTGCCCCCACATCAACTTCACGGGCAACATCTGTGTGTGAGTATGGGGGAGAGCCCAGATGTGCCAGATGTGCCCCAGCCTTGGGGACACCTCTGTCCTCCAGGGAAGGGTTTGGGGCACCAGGGGATCATCCTGGACAAAAGGAGGCTCCAGAGGGGATTTTTTTTCCTGTCTGGAATCTCCAGGTGGGGTTGGGGTTTCTCCCAGGGACTGGGAACAGCCTCTCCCCATTTTTTTAGCTGTTAATACCTCTGGAATTTTATTCATTCCCTAATATCTCCCTAAATTTTTTTGTATTTCCGAAATCTTTCCTCCCTGTTGTCTGGGGAAAGTTTAACAGCAGTTTGGGACTGAATCATTGTGACTGGTTTTAACCAAAAATGATGACAGGGAACAACCTCAGGTTGGACCAGGGGAGGTTCAGGTTGGATTTTGGGAACAATTCCTGCCTGGAAAAAGTTTCCCATCCTTGGAGGGATTCCAGATCCCTGTGGATGTGGCACTTAGGGATGGTTGGGCTGGATGCTCTCAGAGGTCTTTTCCATCTTTTCTGGGATCCCATCACCCAAAATTTCCTTTTTCCAGCTTTCCTGGATAACCCCAGTGCTGCAGGAGCAGCCACACCACACCAAAATCTGCTTTTTTTCACCTTTTCCTCAAGGCAGAAAACCTCCTCCTTTCATGACCCAAACCCACCCTTCCATATTCCTTTCCCACCTCTGTGATTATTAATTTACTATTATTTTCTTAATTAATTCATATTAATTTTCTTTGACCTCCAGCTGTCAAAATCTCCTGGAATCAGCTCAGTTTTATTCAAATCAAAGAACAAGAGCTTGGCTTATCTTGAATTCTCTTCCTCATTTTGACTCCATTCCCCTGAAATCTGATTTTGGCCATGCTTTTCCCATATTTTCATTTATTTCCAAGCATTCCCTGCCATGAATCCATGAAATTTTCCAGGTAATTCCATGTCTAAAACAGCATGGGCAACACAAACCCTTCGCCAACAAATTAATGTGGGCACGGTGATTTAATAATTGATTTATAATTGATTTTATAACGATGCTGGATGACTCGGGGTGAGCTGGCAGTGAGGAAATAAATCAATTATCAGGGAATAAAATATCAATTATCCCAAACAGGGCTGATTGGTGGAGGTGAGATCTGCTCCATCAGGAGAATTCCCTGGATGCTCCCTCACCTTTCCTGCTGCAGTTGAAGGAGTCTGGAATATTTTGTTTATTTTGTTTTTTAAACAACACCCGGAAGCGCAGGGAAAGCCAAACTTTTCCCCTGATTTTTTTTTGGCATTCCAGGCAGCTCTGTCACGCCTCATCACCCTGATTTGGGCTTGTGACGAATGCCACGGCCACGGGATTTATTCTTTATTTATTCTTTATTTATTGCCTGCAGCTGGGGAGGGGGAGCTGCTCCTGCCTGGGACGTCAGGAATGACTCAGCCCGGAGAGCGTCAGCGCTCCCGGCCCCTTCCAGCCCCAAACCAGCTCCTTGGGTGTCACATCCTCGTTGTCTCATTCAGAAACCTCAGCCTGATCCATCCAGGGGCAGGAGGTTCTGAATTTTCAATGCTTGGTGGGCAAAAAAAAAACTAAAACAACAAAAAAAAAGAGGTTTGGTGTTTTGGAGTTGTTAAATGAGCGAGCGTCCCTTGGCTGGGTTGGGTTTGCTGCAGTGTCGTTGGGGGTTTTTATTTGTGACATTTTCCACCCCAAGAGGAGTGATTTTAGAGCTGTCACCTCCAACAGAAGCGATTTTAGGGCTTTCACCTCCAACAGAAGTGATTTTAGAGCTGTCACCTCCAACAGAAGCGATTTTAGAACCAGTCCTTTGTACCTCAAAGCTGCGACTTAATTCGGTTTTTCCTCTGGAGGGCACCAAACACTTCAGCTACTTTTTTTTGCCTTTTTTTTTTTTTTTTTCCCCTCCCACCTCTCGTCGCTCAAAGACCAAACAAAAAAGCACCCTGCTGCTCTTTCCAAGTGGGTTTTATCGAGATAAAATAGCAAACAAGTTGAGCAAAGAGTTTCTGAAGGACACAGCTCCTCGGGGAGGGAGGGTGGTGCTTGCAGGTTGTCCATTCAAATTACTGCTGTGATTCACGGTGTGGGAAGTCCATTTTTTTTTTTTTTGCTGCAGGTGTCTTAGCTGATTTTACTGGGCCTAAAATAATTTTTCAAGCTGCCTGGCCTTTGCTCTGCAGATAATAAGGGAACTATTTCTGCCACAGCAATTTTAAAGCCAAAGTCAAAGTGGAGTCAGAGTGGCACAGATGGAGCAGGGTGACAAAAATCCTGCCCTGGCAGCGTGTGGGTTCCTCAGCAGATAAATAAAGGTTTATATTTTTAACACAAAACTCACTCTAAGTGCTTGGTAAATGGAGTCCTGTGGGAGTTACTCGAGTTGCATTTCCTAGGTGCTGGAGAGGTGGAGAAAATGGGGCTGGGGATGAATCAGAGCTTTTGCTTTTTGTGCTCCTGGAGCTCGGCTGTTGCACTGTGTCACTGCAGCGTTGGTTGGGATGGTCAGTGACACTTGAGCTGAACAGCCAGGGTTGAATTGATTTCTTTTTGTGGCCAGGATTCAGCTCCTTCAGCACTTCCAGCAGAGGCTGGGAGGAGTTCAGAGAGCGTTCTCCCCGTTGTGTGCTGTGGGCACTGCACTCAGCAGAGCCCTGGGATCTTAGTGGGATTCTGGAGGTTTTATTTCTTGGGCAAATCTTAATTTAAGTTCAGATTTTGTACAGAGATTGCTTCATGTGGGAAAGGCCCTTCAGCCAGGTTGCTGCTGTTTGCCAGGGCCTTGCTGATGGCAGCAGCTCCCAAATCTCCTCCCTGCTGGCATCCTGGACAATCCTGGATTCTGGTGGGTCACAAACCTGCCTGGATGGAAACACAGCAGTGTGGAGGAGCAGAGAACTGGCAGCAAGGGAAAACCCCACTAAATTACAGCTAAAACTGAAGGGAGATGCTGGCAGTGGCCACACAACCTGCTGTGGGGATTTGTGGGATGGTCCAAAACTTTGTTGGAAAACCTCCAGCTCCAGGGGCTGCTGTGAGGATTTTTGGCACCATTCTCCTGACTGAGGAGTTCAGAGAGCGTTCTCCCTGTTGTGTGCTGTGGGCACTGCACTCAGCAGAGCCCTGGGATCTTAGTGGGATTCTGGAGGTTTTATTTCTTGGGCAAATCTTAATTTAAGTTCAGATTTTGTACAGAGATTGCTTCATGTGGGAAAGGACCTTCAGCCCCGAGAGAATCACAGAATCGTGGCATGGTTTGGGTTGGAAGGGACCTTAGTTCATCCCTGCCACTGACAGGGACATTCCACTCTCCCAGCTTGCTCCAAACCCCAATTTTCCCCCTTTTTACCCAGTAATTTCTGGTTTTTGTCCCAACCCCGTGCCCTGCTGTGGCGCTGACAGCGACGTGCTGACCCGACCTGAGGGATCATCAATCTGGCACCCTCCTGCCGACGTAATTTTCAATTTTCTCCTTGTGATGCTTCATCTCCAGCAGCCCTCTGAGGCTGATGGTGCCAGCTAATCTGATAAAAAGGATGTGATTCCGTGCAGCTCCCAGCACAGCCAGAGCCTGTCATGGTGGTGGATCCTGTCTCTCACTGGGACAGGTAAAGAAATGATCCCTCAAGCTAGTTTGGCCCTTGGATTTCACCTGAAATCCCCTGAAATTCTGCTTTTCTTGCAGATAAATGTGTGAAGTCATTGACCAAAAGTGTGGGTTTTGCAAAGATAAACAGGGAAACTTCCAGGCTTTTTCTGTTGAGAGCAGGGAAGGCAATGAATTCCCTGGGTTTTAATATTTCTGCAGCACCTCCCTTTTGGGGTAATAAACGCTTTTTTACACCCTTCAGACAGAAATCTTTGCTCGAGGTGCTTGGGTTTGCTTGAGAAATAGGGTTTGCTTGAGAAATAGGTTGGCCGAGGAGTGGGTGAAGAATTGCAGAGCCAGGGGGGATTTTTGTTTTTGTGTGCTGAGAGGACTGAGAAGTTTTTAATTTTTCTCACTGAGAGCACCACTGAAGAATTTCTGGGCCCTTCTGGGTGCCTGTCAAGCCGGGCTGTGGGCTCGCTGATAAGCTTCCCTTCCTTAGGAGCAGGTTTGCAATTATTAAAGATTTCACAATCGCCAAAGAATCGCTGCAGGATGGATTTTTCTCCCCCTGGAGAAGCTCATCTTTGCCCGGGAGCTGCTCCCATCAAGACCCGAGTGTTGAGTTGATTGCGGCTGCTTTTGCTCTTTGCTGAGGACAATCAGAGCCGGAGAAAGGTGTAAAATGCACATGCAAATGAGAATTGCTGCTCCTCTCACCTGACCCGTGAGTCATGAGGGGTGCTGGGCTTATTGAGCTGCCACCACCGTGAGTCACCGCAGCAGCGGGAGCTGACTCCTAATGAGGGAACAGACCCGAGGAGAGCTTTGGGAAGAGCAGGGAAATCAGGGATCTGCATCCCTGCAGATCCTGGGACTGCACCAGCAGCTCTGGCTTCTCCTCCCGAGCCGGCTGGGAGAGCTCACCTGGGGAACAGAGGGATCCAGGGAGAGCTCAGAGCCTCAAGGGGCTCCAGGAGAGCTGGAGAGGAACCTGGGACAAGGGATGGAGGGACAGGACACAGGGAAAAGAGAGATTTGGGAAGCAGTTCCTGGCTGTGGCTCTTGAATAGCATTCCCAGAGATTGGTTGTGTTCAAGGGTCCCGGGAAGAGATGAGAATCTTAACTCCATGTTTCAGAAGGCTGATTTATTACATTATGATATTATATTAATTAAATGCTGCATTAAAACTATACTAAAAAGAATAGAGAGAAAGGATCCATCAGTGGAAAAGAATGAAAAACAAAAGCTAGTGACTCTCAGAGAGTCCAACATCTTTGATGATGAACCAGTCCAAGATGCACCTGTTGGTAAACCATCTCCAGACCACATTCCACAGCCTGGGAATCATCATCAGATAGTTATTGTTTACATTTCTTTAATGAGGCTTCTCAGCTAGAAC